ATGTTTGCACCGAATATTCATCAACCTCCCGAAGAACTAAAATCAGTTTACAGTCCGTGGCCTTTTGCCAAATGGGGGATTGATCTTATTGGTCCTCTACCAACCGGAAAGAGAGGTGTCCGGTTTGCTATTGTGGCAGTCGACTATTTCACTAAATGGGCCGAGGCCGAAACGTTAGCCATGATAACCGAACAGAAAGTCGTAGATTTTGTGTGGAAGTCAATTATCTGTCGCTTCGGGGTACCGAATTCCATCATAACCGACAACGGAAAACAATTTGAAGGCAAACGACTTGAATCCCTGTGCGAAGAGTACAACATCAAGCACTTCTTCTCATCGCCTTACCATCCGCAGTCCAACGGTCAGGTTGAAGCTGTAAACAAGCTCATAAAGAATGGTCTCAAAGTCCGACTTGACGCCGCCAAAGGAACTTGGCCTGAGGAGTTGCCACATGTCCTGTGGGCTTACCGAACTACCACTCGGACGTCTACCGGCGAGACGCCATTTTCCTTAACTTACGGTTCCGAAGCCGTAGTTCCGGTGGAGCTCGGAGAACCGACCTACCGAGTTCAGCATTTCACCGAAGAAGCCAACTCGGAAAACATGAAAGCTAATCTGGACCTGCTTGAAGAACACCGTACCCGGTCCGAACTCAAGAATGTTGCGTATAAGCAAAGAAATGAAAGATATATCAATTCTAAACTCAAACCCCGTTCGTTCCGAGTTGGAGATTTGGTCCTCAAACGTGTAATGGGACCTGACCCCGGACCACTCAGACCGCGGTGGGAAGGGCCCTTTCAAATCATTAAAATCCTACCTCATGGGGCCTACCGAATTGCTCATCCCGATGGAACACCACATCAATATCCTTGGAATGCAGTGTTCTTGAAAAAGTTCTATCAGTGAAGGATCCGAAGTCGCATAGTCGACCCCCCTCTTGTACGGACCTTCTTTTGCCTACGGTGAATGCACGAAATCACCTCTTTTGATGTACTGAATAGCGCGTCAGTTTACGTATTTTGAGAAGTCGAGCAACAAGCTCGATACTGATGTAAACCTTTTGAAACTCGGTTAAATATATCATGCCGATGTAAGCATTGCAACACTCGGTCTAGCTGATACCCCATAATATGTGCGAGTACCACCTATTCTTGGATGGGGGTGATGCTCGTCAAACGTCATTTCAACATACGTGATTTGACGGGCCCCGAATATTACCGAATGCACAACATATAAATCGGTTGGGGCCATTCCATAATCGGACTCTGACGAAGTCCGGTGACTTTCATTTTATTTCCCGTACAGCCCTAAAAATGTGTTGAGTTCTGCGAAGTTATTAGAAAACTCGCATATCGACTCACACTTGTGGCTGAGATTCTTATAAACGATCAAAGTGGAATTCGGAAGTTATTTTTACAAAACCTTACAACTCAGATCATGATTTAAGTAATTCCGAGTTGAAGCAATTCATTTTCTAAAGAAAACCGAATTCAGAACACTTGGTCGAAAAGTCGCTGAAATTTGCACAGCAAACATAAAATCAAAATCAAGCATATGCGAACACTTTATATATAAATATATTCTGAAAAGTTTGGGAAATCCCTTACATATTTCCTACTAAGGGATTCGGTTATCCGATATCCCCGATTACATATCATAAACTTCGAAATATTTCTTACTAAGGATGCTGACATGTCGGCACCCCGATTACATAGCAAATAACCCAAAACAATCAAAACAAAGAAAACAAGAAATCAACTTCAGACCTCATCGGTCGGTTTCTCCACATTCTCTCCGGTGCCGCTGCTTTCTCCGACTTCGGTCCCGGAAGATAGTCGCTCCAAGACCTGCGATTCCTTCATCTTGGTAACAGCCTCAATAGCCCCATCTGGCACCGAAATGAGATCATCACGAGGGTCGGTCAGCTTCTCAACGTCATCTTCAGCCGGCGTGACAACCTTCACCACTTCAACATCCTTATCGGCCGACCTTGCCTTCTCCTCGATGTACGCTTTAACCCGGCTCTGGGTTTGTTCGGGAGTCATGTCGTCAAAATGCTGTTCAACCTCCACCTCGGCCAATGTTGAGAGGTACACGTCGGCCAGCTCCTTTCTTTTTTCCTTCTCCTCCTCCAAGATCATGTTGACGTAAGCACGTCGGAGGAGAGCAGCCCTATCCTCGGAGAGCGGCGGTAGATCAGGATTTGCATTCATTTCCTCCGAACGGCGGAGCATCCATACGCAAAAATCTCGTTCATCTTCATCAGCCGCCACATGCATTCCTTTTATCTCCGAGTCAAATCCATACTTCTCCAATTTGTGGAAAAGAAACAAGCGAAGATCGTGAATATCGTAGTAGCCGGCGTCGTAGCGTTCAATAATCCACCTCAAGTTCAAACAAGTGTTCATTTCAATCTCGAGGTCAGGACCGCCGGCTTCATCATCTTCACCGACCTCGGCAACTTCCATCTCGGCATCGTCCCCAGACTTCGGTTCAGCGACAACCGAATCCTTCCCGGCCTGAAAGCCGTTCTCATACATGAACTCGCCATAAGATGATTTCTCCCTCTCAAGTTTGGCCATCTCGGCCTGATGAGCATCTTTTTGCCGACCTACCAGTTCGCGGGTCTCAGCACATTCATTGCGAGCTGCATCATGATTAGCCTTTTCCTCCAACAAGGCCTTCTCGGTTTCCATCAATTTGGCCTCGGAAGTTTTGAAATGCTGCTCCACCACGGCCAGGCGTGCCTTGAGATCTGCCACTTCGGCCTCATAGGCCTTCTTCTCATCTGACAATGTCACAGTCTCAGCTTTTGCCTTCTCCAACTCGGCAACCTTCTCAGAAATCTGGCCCTTCAAATCGGCCTCCATCTTGGCAGATTCTTCTTTCAATTGGACGATCACCACGTCACGCGCAGCTATGATATCCTTTTTCCCCTCCAATTGCGACGCAACCCGGCGATGATCGTCCTCGGCAGCCACCAAACTGACCAAGGCCCTGCCCACACATGCCTTGGCATAGCTCAGCTTATCGACACTGGACAGAGAAGAGACCCCCACCTCGGATTTGGGGTCCCAAACCATCAGCGGAACTCGGGCAGCATTTCTGGCATTCTCCGGCATCTCGATCCGTGACAACATGTGTGGCGACTTCACAGACTGGAAAGTGGTGAACCACTCTTCCACAACACCCTCGGGCACTTTAACGTTGGCAGCCCGCTCTTCGTCTATCGACAAAAAAGACTTCTCGAACAAAGAAGAATCGTCCGTACCTTTCTCAGTCGCCTTACGACCGGAGTCGTGCTTTTTCTTAGACCTCTTCTCTACTCCGGACGAAGCTCCGACGTCCGCCATCTTCACCAATTTCCTCTTCTTCCTCTTCTCTGGTTGCTCCAACTCAAGCGACTTCGGAGGAGCTGGTGGCACCTCGGTATGAGCAACCTCGGCAGTAATCATTTCGGTCCCTGCTATGATTGGTTCCGGATCTGCTTGGTTAATCGCTGCAGTCTCCACTACCGACAACACTTCGGTAGTCGTCACGTCTGGCACAGACTTCGGGCTTTCAGGCATGGCAGCCGAAGTGGCACTCGACCCCACCTCGGTCGACTTCTTCCCAGTGTTCTTTTGACCGGCTGTCTTCTTCACCAACGCACGAACAAGATCCCTCCTCATGGCGTCGTTCAATCTTAAATCCTGGCTCTTACCAACTTTGGATTGAAGGTCTCTGTTCGGAAATTTACGCCTAAACTCCTTGGCTTCCTTGACAGAGTTGTAGCCCAGAAAACCGAGGAGAGGATAATACACTGCATATCGACAAAGGACAAATAAAGATACAAAACAGCTATTCATCGCATATGAAAAATTCGACAAAATCGTTACTGGTTAAAATTCTCTTACCGGGGTCAAACTTCGATGTGGTAACTCCCAGAGACAAACCAGCCGCTTCAAGTTTCGAGTCTATTAAAAGCTTGCGATAATCCCTGTCTGCTTTATCCAAACCGGCCAAAGTTATCAACTTCCCACCGAATTCCGGACTTAACTTCGGTTCTTTTTGCTTCATCTCTTTTTCTACACAGAGTAAAAGTTCCGACCTGTTAGTGCACAGAACAATACCAAAATCAGAAAAGTATATCCGAATTGAAAATCAAATAAAACAAACTCACTGGCTCCGGAATGAATTAACATGGGGATTGTCATCCCATCGATTCGGTGCTCATGAAAGAAGTCCACTGACTGCCACTCTCCACCGATCCATAACCACTCTTCCTGGAAGCCATGGAGACTCTCCGGAATCTCAGTCACTATTTCTCCGACTTTAACGCCGTGTTGCGGTTTCGCCCCGGCAAAGAAGCAACAAGAAGACTCGGCCACCCTCCTCTTCGGACTTTGTTTAAACGCGAAAATGCTCCTCATCTCATCGCACGAAGGAAGTCCTTCACCTCTCTCGTGCAGCAACACCATTAACCCGATTATCTTTTTCCAACTATTCGGTGTAATCTGGCACAACGGTAACCCCCAACTTCGGAGGTACTCCGTGATCAAGTTTGGCAACGGGAACCTTAATCCCGACCTCAAACTCTCCGCAAAGACGCCCACGCAACCCAGAGGTGGACTTGTTATTCTCTCCCCGGGATAAGGAGCAAAAATTTTCACCGAGGGAGGGATCCGAACCTGTTCTCTCAGCATCACGACATCGGCGTCGGTAAGGATACTCGGTTCGCCGATAAAATCGATCGCAGGATCGGGCCACTTCCTCACCGGTCTTCTCCAATGAGGCACCACGAGGTCGGCTGCGTCGTGTTCTACGACCAGATCACCGTCCTCATCATTTAACTTAATGTTCAGATGCCTTACCAACGACGGGTCCCATCGGTGGTATTCGAAGGCCAATTCAACCAGTTCCGAATCGTGATAAACATCCAACAGAACCGACTCAGTACTCGATGAACTTGCCACCGCCTTTCCCTTCCCTTTCGGCGCCATCACACAATCGAACAGAATACAAAAGAAATAACAGAAGAAATTAAAGAAAAAGCTTACCGAAAACGTCGCACGCACACAGCAAGCAGGAAATAATCCTCAGAATTTCAGAAGAATGCGACAACCAGTATATAATACGAAAGCTCAAAAATGAAAGCAAAGGTGAAGAAAACCCGATCAGATATTGCTAAACCCTATTTATAATCGTCGATTTTATGACCGTTGAGTATCTTAATTGGGGGCGCGTCGAACCGACGCGACCCCTAATTCTAACCGACGCCACCTCTTCGCCTGATAAGACACCTACCGTTACACGTGGCGACCTATTAAAGTCGACCGTTGCATCATTTAAGACCATTACGGCGCGACCGTTCAGTCTAAACATTAAATCGTTGACCGTTACAACTGTTCATCTCTCTTCTGTCACGACTGCCTGAAAATTGTTCGAAATTCACCAAGTGTCTTCACCTCGGAATACAGTCTACACTTCGGATAGATGACTCACTTCGGTTACATCGGTCAGGATACCGAAGATGACCCTTCGAAGACAATAGACCACATCCTGCCGCCGACTTCTTACCGATCCAGGGTCTCTAAATGTCTAGCATAGCAACATCGACGACCATCACTCCGTATGCCCACCGATGTTGGGGGCCTCTCTGTTATCATCCGAATCGGTAAAACTACATTAAGAGATTCCAAATGTCACATTAAGAGGAAGATGATCATTGAACCGACGTGATTTTAACACCACCCCGGTTCAGGCGACGAACCGGACCGAACTACCGAAGACCGAAGTGGTCAGCACCTACCGAAGTCTATCCAAACCGAGGTCGCCACCTCCTTAAGCAGGTGACAAGGTGCCTACGTACAACCATCCTGCTCCACAAAATCCGTCATCATTTATGTGGGACCCCTTGCTTTAAACCGCCCACAAAACGTTACTTTATTCAAAAAGTAGCACACAGATCCCGATGTATATTACTATAAATAGTGAACCTATGACATTTTTACGGGGATCTCTCTCCGACCCGAAAAAACTTCATTAAACAACACGTAAAAGCCCATCACGGCTCTTCACCTCGGTTCACCTCGAACCGGGGCCATCGTTGAAGTTACTTTACATGCTTTACGTCCAAATCATTCATAATTCTCATCTTAATCACGTATTACATCGTTGTTAGAAATCGCATAACAACAGTATTCTTTGATGATATCCTAATCTACTCGAAGTCGTGGGGCGAACATCTTGGGCATCTAAGGATAGTTCTCGAAATTTTAGAGGCCAACTCATTCCACATCAAACCGTCCAAATGCTCATTCGGGCAGGAGATGGTTGAATATCTTGGTCACTTCATATCACATGACGGTGTGAAAGTCGATCCGCGAAAGATTGAGGCTATGGTCGATTGGCCTAAACCAACAAGTCTCACGCAGTTGAGAGGGTTTTTGGGGCTCACAGGTTACTACCGAAAGTTCGTAAAGGATTATGGGACCATCGCCAAGCCACTGACAGCAATGACTAAGAAGGGTGGGTTCACATGGACCGAAGCTAGCGAGGAGGCGTTTGGAAAATTAAAAGAAGCTATGACGACAACGCCAGTACTCGCCATGCCCAGATTTGATTTCTTGTTCGAGGTACACACCGATGCGAGTGACATTGGAATTGGGGCTGTGCTAGTGCAATAGGGGCGACCCCTAGCCTATCTCAGCAAGGCACTGGGCACTACTCGGTTAGGTTTGTCAGTGTACGTGAAAGAGATGCTAGCAGTTGTCGAGGCTGTACGGTGCTGGAGGCCTTATCTATTAGGTCGACGTTTCCAGATTGTTACCGACCAGCAACCGCTCAAGCACCTGTTGGAGCAAAGGATAGTTACCCCTGAGCAGCAGAACTTCGTATCTAAACTCATGGGGTTTGACTTCGAGATAATTTATCGACCAGGTCGACAGAACGCAGTGGCCGACGCGCTATCCCGACGAACAGACGTGGCCGAGTTAAGTGCAATCACTGGACCTACTTGGGCCATTTGGGAAGAGATCAGGAAGGCACAAGAAGAGGATAACCACTGTCAGGAGCTGCGCCAATCGATAGAAGCGGGTAAGACCACTGCTATCGACTACGAGCTGCATAATGATCTACTTCTACACAGAGGTCGAGTCTATGTCCCCGACAGTGGGCAGTTACGCGAGCAGATTTTGCAGCACTTCCATGACTCTAAGGTTGGAGGCCACTCGGGTATCTATCGCACGTGGATGAGA